AGGACAACCTTTCTTGCCCGGATTGCATACAACGGGCAACCGAGTGGACGGGTAGATAAGCGGATTGCCACGTAGACATTGCTCTCCTCCTCCAGTAGGTCCTTAATATGCATGAAATACCCTGTGGAATGAGTGGATCTCTTCAATTCTCACTTACTTGCAGTAGAAATCGTGCTCTGCTGCTTTCCAGGCTTTTTGCCTGCAGTCGAACAACACAGGTAGTCGTGGTTCTTGTAAGTGCACTCATAACCTTTCGGACAACGTTGCTTAACACATTTTTGCGGTAGGCCGTTGATGAGATACGGTACACGTCCTAATGGACACACTGAAACGGATCATTGTAGTTTTATATCCCAGATAGAGCCGAAGAGTGCCTCTACCTTCTATATTGGGTTCTGAGATCGAACAGCAGATATACTGGGTCCGCTTGGTGTTGATCTGGCAAGAGTAACCGTGCGGGCATTGCTTACCCTTGGGGCTGCAGAACACTACCCTTCCAGTATCCGCCGAGATCAATGCTTTCGAATTGGCATTCGAACATTTTGATGCACCAGCTGAAAGGAAAATAAAGTGAGTTTCTAGAACGGGTTACTGGGGACCTTTCAAGAAAGAACTCTTGTCAGGAAAGACCACCAGCTTCAGCTCACATTTGCTCTGGACTATTTTTGAACGAGCGCTCGCCGATGCGCATTTGCCATTCAAATTTATCATCTTCCCGTTGCACTCACAAACTCCTTCAACGCACGATGCCTCTGAAAACAACTCGATTTCAACCGTTCCAATAATTCGACGGGGGTCAAAACTCACGATCAGGACACTGTTCCGAGATCTCACACGGTTTGCCCAGTTCAGCTCGGTTGTGGCAGACATTTCCCTGCTTGACCTGCTCTGGTGCACATTCTAGGATAAATATGTTTTATTAGAGTCTATGAGGTCTAACCGTACGAAGAGACTCACTAAGTTCGGCCTGACAGAACCCGCCTATCGACTGAGTGGATGGGGGACAGACGCAGATTCCGGCATCGCAAACTGCTCCACCAGTACATTGTTCAGACTGTTGGCAGTCCTGCCCATGCCCAACACGTGGCAAGCACAGACCATTCACGGAAATCTCGTCAGCAGAGCACTCCACTAAAACCACAGCTTTTATTGGTTACGGGCACCATGTACAGTGTACAAGGCATCAAGGCTACCTTGTTTGCAAAAAGCGCAGCAGATGTGGTGGCCTCCAATAGAACGCTGACAGGCGAACCCAATGGGGCATTTCGACTGTCCGGCCACACATCTCTCGGGTTCTCCGGATAAGACCACAAAACCGCCACGGAATCATTCGGCATACCTGAATATGCGTGGGAATGAATAAGAGTGCATGATGAGTAGATATGATGATAAAAGCAGTTTTCAGCGCTCAGCCTACCCACCTCCACTGACTCCGCAGCACTGGAACTGACGATTAAGGGTGGAGAACTGACAAAAGTAACCAGGAGGACAAGTCGATGAGCCTGCTGTGCATACACGGACACTTCTCCTTTCTCGGAAGGCAATCTGCGCATTCGGACAGCCATCATCTGAAAGGTTCCAGATAGATAGAGAGATGAGAGAGAGCGAGAGAAGAGAGAGAGAGAGAGGGATGAGAGAGAAGAGAGAGAGGAGAGAGCTATCGCTATCAAAAAGGACATTCACGAAAAATGAATGGAGGATATCATAATACTGTTGGATTTCTTCATGGAGGGGGGCGTGCGCCTGACTCTTCGGCAATTAGGAGGATGGTTGACTGAGCAGTCCGTCCTGATTCCCCGTCTATTCTCGCTACCGCATCTTAAGATTCACAGCGAATATGTCTTGCACTATTTACCCTAGCTATGCGCCACTCGAACAGGTTTGATCGACATTTCCGTGGGTTGAACGCTGGCAAACTTCGACCTGAAAGTATCGTTTGATCCGCTGCTGAACTCAGGCACTGTGAAGTGGGCGCCAGCCCAATCATCTTCAAGCACCGAAGTTGTTAAAAAATGTACTCAGGGGTATTTTGGTTTCTTTGCACACGAGTACCACTCCAACTTAGTATGAAAACGCCTGTTACGTGCGCCATGGGCTCCAGCACGAGTTTTGAGGCACTAAAGAGGTAAGTAGTCCCTACTCCTTGAGGGGTAAATGTTAGGTAAAAACTGAAAGTGTTGTCACTTACTAACTCTGACGGATGGCGGTGAAGGATTCGAACCGCAGCACTGATATCTGAAAGCCGTTAATAAACACTGAAACCGTTAATAAACTTCATCTGAGTTTCACCTTTGATTCGCCGTGGACCACTGGCAGGTGAATCCTTCTGGGCAAGGAGCATTCGGAGGATTGAACGGATCACATGTGGCGGTATCCCCCGCATCATTAATGAAGACAAAGTTCCCAGGAGGACACCCATCTGGAATCGAATCTCAGCAAGGAAAGAACTCAAAGAATGATAATAATTGTGAAAAAGGTAAAAAAGTATACTTGTAGGAGAGACACGCCTCCATAACTATCCTAGACCCAAAAAACCATATAACGCATCATATCACAAAACTGCTGCATCACAATCCTCCAAGGGACTGTCGTCCCGTTGACAAGGGGTCATATTCGAGTCACCCTGGGATGGAATGGTAATCAGTGAACGGTTAGAACGGGGACATTTTGGAAAATAATGAATCCTCCCAATGTGGTATACAGGGGGAAAGACACTTTTCTTACACTTTATTAAATTCTGATTGGACATTTCCACCACCATATTCAAGAGCATATTGTACACTATCATGATACTCCGCCACAGCCTTCTGGACGAGCGCCATCGAGAGATTCTGCCACGCGACCGTGATTCGGCGAGATCGTTGATTTCTCCGCCACTGTAGACCACCCTGTTGAGCTCCGCCCGAACCGGGTAATTGAGGGGTTTAGGTCAGGTGACACACTTGGATATTCCATCTTCTTCAGGTACTCAACGCCATTCCAAGTAGGCGAGAGTTTTTCCAACGCCCTTCCGTGTGGAGGCACCCAAATCCTGTAGCAGTATGAAGTTTTCCAAGAAGTACAGACGGATTACCATGAGGCAGGAATATTCTTCCGGCGAGCGTTGATCAGTGTAACCCTTAAGCTGCGTTCACTTTCAGTCCGGGCGGTCTACAAAGAAAATATCGGTCTTCCCATTCTAGGTACTCCTCCATACCATCAACTCGCGCCTCGGCGACTACGGTGAAGATGATGTCCTAGACCGTAGCGACGTTGTCGGAGCTGCTCGATGTTGGAGGTCTTCCAGATCGAGAGTACTGGTCTCCAGGTATCCATGGGTGACTCCACACTAGAAGTTTCCCAGCTTGTTGATAGGCTGACGTGAAGTTCCGAAGTCCTGGAGATGACTTCATATTTTGGTGTACATGAAGGTGATGGGCGAGAGCCTGCTCCTGCTTATCGAGAAACATCTTGGGTATCTTTCACCCTGGTACTCGTACCCACGTCCTCTGTATGGGCTGCGAAAACTTTGCTGACATATG